CCGGGGGAGGGCGGCAGCCCGGCACAGTGGCTGAAGTCAGGGGGGCATTGGCACCTGGAAACCCAAATTCAGGTCTTATCTCTTGTACCTATTTGCCCCCACGAGCCTGGCCAGGTCACTCCCTCTGCGGTCGCTTTCTCCTAACGACTTGTGACATGCACTAAACGACTTGTGACATGCACTAAACGACTTGTGATATGCATTCCCACCTACCCTACAGGACTGTGGTAAGAATCAGAAACTGGGCTTTGCCGGGGCTGGCCCAGCACTTACTCTCACCCTCTTTTTTCTTCCCTGCAGCAGGCCAAGGAGCTGATCAATAAGTAAGTAGGCTCCGCGGGAAGGGAAAGGAAGTGGCCCAGCGGATTCCTCTGGCACTGGGAGGGGCTGAGGGTACCTGGGCGTTGCCCGCTGAGCAGCTGTGGCCACCGCAGGGTCGGGACAATGTCGAAAGTGGAGCTAGCGGGACCGCCGGAGCCAGGCTACGAAAGCATGGAGCAATTTTCCGTGAGCGTGGAGCATGTGGCCGAAATGCTGAGGACCATCGACTTCCAGCCGGGTGAGGGAGCCAGGGAGGGAAGGAGGGACTGCACTTCCACAACCTCAGTATGGGGGTGAAGTAATATGATCTCCAGAACAGCAAGGACTCCACCTCAATGGCTTTCTTTCCTCCCAGGCGCCACTGGGGAAGAAGAGGATGAGGAGGTGGCTCTGGACGGGGACGAGGGCAGTGCAGGACCAGAGGAAGAGCGACTGGACGGGTCAGAAGGTGAGAGTGGCGCAGAGGGGCTTGATGCGAGGTCTGGCTGGCACTCTCATGTTCCGTCCTCGGGTGATTGCCTTCCCAGCCACATCAGGGCTCACCGACAGCCCCCAATAAAGTGCCATCTAATCCCAATGCTACAAAAGAGCGCCCCCTAGCGTGCAGAAATTAACGCTCTTTCCCCCCATTCATTCTGGGGCTCTACGAGATCGGGTTGAGTTTGCAAGAAACCCGGTGACTGCGAAAGGCAGTGAGCCGAGCTTCGGGGCTACCATTGTTCTTTGAGACACCCGCCCATCGAGCTTTCTTTGCCTGGCACAGGGCTGCACTGACCCGATCCCTGGTCGAGAGCCCACGCGCACGGAACCTGGCGCACGGAACCTGGCGCCAGCGTCCTGGAGTATCTGCACAAAGACCACCGCCGCCACCCACTTTGGCGCCAGGCGCCAGGGGAGGGCCTCAATAAAGGAATTTTGCGTCCCAGATGCGTATCTCGTTTCGCTGCCTACTCCCCCATTCAGGGCTCTGGAGGCGACCTCGCCACCAACGCGCCCTTCCCCGCCTGAGATCACTTGGGGGGCAAAAATGAAATGAACCTCTATTTGAGCACCTCCATGATGCCCGACGCGGACTCGTGAGCCCAATGACCTGGGGAGAGGGTCGAGGGTAGCATGGTGGTTGCGGGATCTCTGAATTTAGGAATTTGGGGGAGGGGGAGGTAATGGGACCCCCTAGAGACTTGACTGAAAACAGTTCTCCCTGACCTTCTCCCCATCAAGATTGGGGCCTCTCCTGCCTCTCCCACGGATTCCCTTCTGTGCTTGCCCGAGCCCCCACGACAGGAGTCAAAGGCTCTTAAGCACTTTTATTAAGAAATAGACAAGCAGAGGTGCTCAGAGCGTCTCTGGGCCACTCTGCATCGCGGGACTGGGTTAGTTCCGGTCGCGCACCTTTCAGCCTCGGGGTGGGGGAAGGGGTCAAGGTTTTCGCAGTCCGGGACTGGGCGGCTCACTTGCCCACAGAGTCGAATATGATGCGGTTTTGCTTCGCACGCTCACGTTGACTCTGCGTCCGGGCCAGCTCCAGCAGGGTCCGCAGCAGGTGGAATGTGAGGTCGATGGACAGTGGAGGGTCGTCGCGACGCGGCCGCTCGCCTGCAGTCCCGGATCCCCATCGGGTGAACCCAGTGCGGCGCGGGAAGCGCTCTGCCAGTAGCAAGAGAAGAGCGCGAGCCCCACCACCCTGGTTCCGCGCCCCGGCGCTCCATCGAAGACTCGGGTCTTGGACCTCGGTCCCAGCTGCAGCCGCCGGGCTCCATTGGCTGCCCCCGGGACGCAGCTGGGCCAGAAGCAGCAGCGCCACCAGCAGTGCCGCGCGTCCCGCTTGCTTCATGGTGCTACCGGCCCTAGAAACACGGGTTGCGCAGGGTGAGGTGCGCCTGGGACAGCCGCAGGTGGTGTGACCCTTATCAGCGCATGCCCAGCATCCCCGCCAGGACCCTCCAGCTTCTGCCCAGTGCCCCAAGTCTGCCTCCCAGCCCCAGCCGCTGCGCCAATCCAGTTCCACCCCTCTTTCCCTTCTTCCCCGCCTCCCGGAGGGCCGCGGTTGGTGGGCTGAGCACTGAGTCTTGGTGCTCAGGGAATCTAGACGGTCGCTCCCATTCACTCACAGGTTATCGGAGAGTGTCTGCCTGATACAAGACGGAGCTCCAGTCTCTGTCCCTCGGGCTGGACTGAGGGCTCCTTGGGGAGCACAGGGTCTGTCCCGGGACTGCCGCCAGCCTTATATAGCGCTAGGACAGCTCCGACTGACGTCAGCCAAGAACATGAACTGATTGTAGAAGCAATGACAGCAACTTTGAGTCCAGAGGTTTCGAGCCCCCAGAGCGGTGCATTTCTTGACATTTGACTTAGTGTCCCTAGGGCTAGCACTGGAAGCAGCATTAGATAGAATTGGAAGAGTGAGAAGCCGGCTCCTGAAGTCTGGGCCATGAAGATTGCTCTACGACCCGAGTCCTTCTCCCTGTCTAGAACAGATAGCAGAGACTAGAGCTGGTCGCCACATCACACTAACCTGGGTTCCTGGCCTCTGGCACACAGAAGGGAGGTGGGACCGTGGAGCTGTCTATGGTGCTGACCCTGTCTTTAGACGCGAAGAAACTGGCAAGAAGCCTGGGGGGAGAACTCTGGGATGCTCAGATCCAGCCCCTAGCCCATTATCAGGTTGTAGACTGGGGGAATCCAGAACCAGTGCTGGCACTCAGCCAACACTATAGGCAGCCTGCCACAACTTAAGTATCCCCGGACTCTTGACCTTATTACAGCCCTGGAATCTAATTCTACAGCTGTCTGAGCACCAAATATGAGGATTTCTGGCTGGGCCATTTGTTTCTGAGTTTCTTCAAAGTGGAAGTTTAACAAATACCAGTTTTTCTCCCAGAAATCATAACAGCAGTATTATGCCTTTGGCACTGTAGTTAAGATCAGTAGGCAGGAAATAAGAAAATTGGGTTCTCTTAGACAGGTTACCTCACTTCCACAGACCTTAGCGTCTGCATTTGTAAAAGAAGACTTGGAGGATGTAGGCTTCTTTCCATCAATAGCTATTTTTATAGTTTTCTCCTGGGTCTTACTCCTGACCTCTGCATGTTCCACATTATGTATTTAAAACATTTACTGAAGCACAATAAAGAGTTTGAAGGGATCCCAAAGAGCACTAGGGTTGGGAAGGGCTATAGTAACAGACATGTCAATGAAAAGTTGGCATGAGTGGGAATAAGACTATGTCATGTGCCATAAACAATGTTTCAGTCAATGACAGACCACATACATAATGGTGACCCTATAATATTGTAATGGAGTTGGAAACTCCTATCCTACCACCTAGTGACATGGTAACTGTTGTAACATCACAGCACAATGCATTAATCCTATGTTTGTAGTGATGCTGGTGGGAACAAATCTACTGCATCACCAGTTGCTTTAAAGTATAGCATGTATGACTTATGTGCAGCACATAAAACTTGATAATAATAATAAAGACAATATTACTGGTTTATGTATTTACTCTACTTTATCATTATTTTATGACTCAAAGTTTTTTTTGTTGTTGTCTTTTTGGTACCAGGGATTAAACCCAGGGGTGCTTAACCACTGAATCACATTCCCAGCCCTTTTTATTTTTTGACACATGATTGCTTGCTGAAGTTGGCCTTGAACTCCTGCCTCAGCCTCCTGAGTTGTTGGGATTACAGGAATGCACCACAGAACCTGGTTTTTCATTATTTTAGAGTCTTCTCTAATTTAGGAAAAAAACCTTTATGTGGTGTTAGACGGGTAGCAATCCTCATACATCTCATATTTACCATGTCTCTTCTCTGCATCAAGAGGCCACATCAAGTGACTGATCTATACCACCTAGGTTTGTGTAAGTACACTCAATGATGTTTGCATGACAATGAAATTGCCTAATGATAGTTCTCAGAACGTACTGTTGATAAGCCTTGCATGAATGTATTATAAAGGGCTAGTGATTTTCAGAAGCAGTTTACAGTTTAAAATGAAATGTCCCATTTCAGAGTGCTCATCTCATCAAGTTCTGACCAGCACTTCCACCCCCATGGACATTGATATGCCCATTTTGAGGAGACTGTCTGACAATCCCGGGATCATGGTGAATCATTGCAGGTGGCAATGATGAAGCAAGGCAGGCTAGAACTGATGTGCTTTCCACGACAGGTAGGAGTTCCAAATGACAGCAACACACTGGACAACAGCCAACCTAGGAACAGGAATGCATTGTGAGGAGGGAGACTAGGAAGCATGGAAGGGGGAGCAATGGAATAGGACAGGGAGAGTGCAAAGGAAAAGGAGGCAGCATTCTGAGAATTTCCAGATTTGAGTCTTCTTCCTCCAGCCCCTATGGAGGGACTACGTGGCTCAGACCAGAACTAGCTCAGATTCTCATTCTCTCCCAGGGCCCTGAATTCCAGATGAAGGTCTCAACAGTTAAGAACCCAGCAGTTCTTGTCAGGCACAAGTCTGTTATTCATAACCTGTCCAGGCCCCTTCTAAATACATTTATCTGTCCATCTTGTACCAACTGAGGAGAGTCCACCTTCCAAAAAATTTGCTACCTGTGTATAAAATAGAACCTTTTCTTGTTTGCTTTTTGTAGTGCCAGGGATCAAACCCTGTGCACACTAGCCAAATGCTCTACTAGTAAGCTACATCACAAGCCTTTTAAATATTTTTATTTTGAGACAGGGTCTTATTAAGTTGCCCAGGCTGGCCTCAAGCTTGCAACCCTCCTGCCTCAGCCTTCCCAGTCACTAGGACCTTCTTTATTTTAACTTGACTTTGCTCTAGTTTCAAAGACTGCTGCAAAGGACACTTATGTTTAGGAATTGGTTTGTAAGTAGGTATTCCTTTAGCTATGCTATCCATGAAAAATTTGACCATGTCTTCTCGGAAGAGTTTCAGAGTTTTTCTGTTTCCAAGATACCTCACCTGCAAGCATTTTTAACAACTCATTTTGAGTTCCACACTATTTTTTATTGTCTCTCAGCAATGACCTTTATTATTAAAGCAAAATAATGCTTTGCAGTAAACTAACCTGACAAAGCCTTTAGGTCTACCTTTCTGTCTAACCTAGGATGCAGCACCCCAGTGAGGCACTGTCTCTGCAGATATGCCATCAAAGGTGGAGAGCTCAGGTGGGATGGAGACAAGAGTTGTAGAAGCAGGATCCTCCATAGCGAGATGATAGAAGGTCAGTGGGGGACACTCTGGAACAGTTTCTGTAAAGGGCCAAAGGTTATGAATAAAATGCTTGGAAGTCTGAAGAGTTATGACCAGAGCAAAGTATACTGGTGGAGATCTAAAGGAGGTGAAGGTTGAAATGAGAATCATTTTTTTTCCAATTGTTGGTAACATGGATCTTCCCTGAAGGGTGGGGTGGGGGTCTGTCATACCTGTAATGCAGGGGGACTAGGTAGAAGTTGGCTAACTGCACAGCAGGCCAGAGCTACAAAAAGAGAAGGCAAAGGTTGAATGGCTTCCTCCCCAACGGGACTTCCAGACTCACTGCCTCACCTGGCCCTGCCCTGACTGCTGCACACAAGAAAAGACTAGAAGTTAGTGTTTCTCTGAGCATGGGGCCTGCAGGGGGAATGAGTAATCCCAAGGGAGGGATTCCTATGCCAGGCGAACCCCAATCCCAGGGCATTTCTGGACTTAAGGGAGCAGGAAAACAGACAGAAGGGGTCAGTTCTTACATAGTAGTTGGTGAGGAGGGCATCAGGATAATCCTGAGGAGACAAAGAAGGAACAAATTCACACTTGCACCTCTAAGTGGCTGCCACCCCCCCAACATGAATATCATACACAAACTTCTGTCCCAAGAGCACACCTCTAGCCCCACACTCCCCTCCCTTCCTGGCTCTCCCTGCCTCCACGTTTTCCTGGGGTTGCCAGCCTACTAGCCACAGACTCACTTACCCTCCGTAATTTGGCCCAATTATCCTGGGCTGACAGTCCATTGAGTGTCCCCATCAATGGGAGGAAGCAGCCTAAAAAACACGGGGCAAACCCCCCCTAGGGAAGAGAAATTAAAGCTCTGTGAGTACCCCATGTCTTAACCCAGCTCAGCCTTCCCAACACCCTTTTCCTTCACTCACCTGATCCAACAACATCTTCTTTAGTGCATCCACCTTGGTGGTGCCAGGGATGAGCCGGTCCAACACCTTGTACCAGCCTCCTAGTACAGGGGCCTGGAAGTCAACCCCAGATGGGGCCACAGGATGCAGTGAGGGGGCACTTGATTTTTATACCACGAAGTTCTTCCCCCAAGTATCAGAAACCAAATCTCAGGGAAAGCATACACTGAGACACTACGAGGGCTGCAGGGTGACCTAGGTGTGACAGGCCAAGGGAAACTACAGGATGGCAAAGAACTAGACCTCTAGTGAGTTCAGTGCAGCCTTACTGTGGGCAGAACTTACCACAAAGCCACAGCCCAGGGACACCATGGTTAGGGTTCGGCCTGTCTGGTGTTCCTGCAGACCCCGCCTCTCCACCAGCTGCTGTGAGATAATGTCACCTAGGCCCATCAGGGACCCTGTGCAGGGTACACAGATGTTGTCAGGATAGCTCCAAAAATTTAAGTCTGCTGACAGAATGAGGCTCTGGCACTCTGAGCCCCAGGACTTCATTCTGGGCAAATGACTAGCCCCACCTGCTACCACAAAACCGCCTATTCTTCAAGGATGGTGACACCTCATGTATATCCTGAGTAGGCCAGAACCCAAGAACTCTGCACTGAGAGGTAAAGGGAGGTCAAGTCAGGAAACAGCAGATAGAAGAAAGAGAATTTAAGGTCCTAGGACTGAAAATCATAGACAGAATTAAAGGGCCTACTAGATCATTTCTTTTCCTTTCTTTCTCTTTTGGTACCAGGGATTGAACTCAAAGGCACTTAACCGCTGAGCCACATCCCTAGTCCTTTTTTTAAAAAATATTTTTTAGTTGTAGATGGACACAATACCTTTATTTTGTTCATTTATTTTTATGTGGTGGTGAGGATCAAACCCAGTGCCTCGCATGTGCGAGGCAAGCACTCTACCGCTGAGCCACAACCTCAGCTCGGTATCCCTAGTCCTTTTTATTTTTATTTTGAGACAGGATCTCACTGGGTTGCTTACAGACTCATTAAGTTGCTGAGGCTGGCTTTGAACCTATGATCCTCCTGCCTCAGCTTCCTGAGTCACTGGAATTACAGGAACGCACTACCACATCCAGCCTAAAAGATCATTTAATCCAAACTCCTTATTTTATTTAATACTTATCATTTGCTAAGTTTAAACTGAGTTAAAATAACATTACTTTATTGTGTAAAGTTATTTTCATCTATATTTTTTATTTTAAAGTAAGTATTAGCAAAATGCAACATGGGAATATAAAATAAAAGCCACCCACCTCACGGTCACCTAATAAAACCCATCTGATCCCAAATCCATTATTTTAGAGGTAAAGAATCAAAGGTCTACCATCTCAAATAACCTGTAACTGAAGAGGCAAGCCAGAATGAGGAGGCTTATATGTTCTTTCTAGGACACTGTACTACAAATAGATCATGTATAGAATAATAAAGAACCCTGTTTCTTTCTCCCTCTGCCCAATGCAAGACTTAGCCCACAGCCTTCACCTTGGTCTTGGGATCTCTATTTGCAGAACACAGCAAGGATAACTCTTTTCTAAGACATTAGTGCTCAAATGGTCCTGGGTGGGAAAATGATTGAACTGAAGGAGTTCCCAACAAGAAAGAGTCCTGGCCACCTTAGCACTGTCAAACCCAGACTTCCCCATTTGTACCCTCAGACTGAGTTGGCAATGGGTATTAGAGCCATTTCTCCCCAGGCCTCTGCTTCTGCTTCCCCCTTAATTATACAGACACTCCGATCCATGCAGCCCCAATGAGACATCCACACTCAAAAACCAAGACAGAATCATCATTGTTTACAGAGCCCCCATCAGTTATGATGGCGTGATAGTTTCTAGCAAACACACACTTATAGGGGCCGCTTGGGATTGACCATCTGATCTCCAGCTTGCCCATCTCTCTCACTGAGTAATGAAAGTCCCCTCCAGCCACAAAGCCACCACTGTCTCTATGCCCTCAATTAGCACTGGGCAAACACATCCTGCAACCCTGTTCCTTGGCCTGGAACTGGCTCTGACGTCCAAGCTGGCTGTGTGCTCAAGGCTCTGCTCTTCTCTACCACCCTCTGCACAGCCCTGCCCTAGCAGCCTGGTCAGAGGCAACAGGGGAAAGCTGGGGGCTAGGGCTGGGGACAGGCATCCCTAGATGATCTGGGCTGCTGACCACTGAATACCTCTGGTCCCCAAGGTACAAACTATTTCAGATCAAGGCACCCCTGAAACTTTCAGTCATTCTTCCCAGAATACTGGTAGACATAACCTCCTCAAGGGCAAGCACAAAATCCTAGACACTTTTGTTTTCTTATTCCTCACCATACTTAACAGAATCCCTGGCAATTGTACAGAAATAAATAAAGGAAAAACGTCAAAAGCATGATCCCAAACAACAGGACTGCTCTGGGAAAGGGCATGAAGATCCACGTGTTGGAATCAAGGTGTAAAAACCACAGGGAAGTGAGGGCTTGCTCCCTGCTCTCAAGTAGTGAGCATTTAATTCACTATGCCTTCCCCCAATGTGGGGGCACTGGCTGTGCTCCCAGGAAGGACAGGGAGTTTCTGCAGCCATGCATAAAGGGAGAAGTGACCCTGGGAAGACCAAAGGCACTTCTTCAATGAAGGCACTAACAGTCTGACAGTGGACTTTGGCCAGATGGTTACAGATAACAATGAATGCTCACATAAATCTCACAAAAGGTCTGGAGGTAGACGGTCACACATCCAACTAAGGTGTGTGACTCAGTAAGGAATAGAATTGGGACAAAGCCAGGCCAGGAGAGCAAGGAGGCCAGCATTCCAAGTAGAAGCTGAGACAGGCTTGGAGGTCAATGGGCAGCCATGGGCTCCTGTGGCTGCTCCTCTGCAGTGGTTCCTGTCCAAGCAAGGTCCCAAAGAGTTTACATATAAGAAATGCTTCCTGGGGCTGGGGATGTGGCTCAAGTGGTAGCGCGCTCACCTGGCATGCGTGCGGCCCGGGTTCGATCCTCAACACCACATACAAACAAAGATGTTGTGTCCGCCAAAAACTAAAAAATAAATATTAAAAAAAAAAAAGAAATGCTTCCTAAACGAATGCATTTCCTGTTCTTACTCTCCAGTATTCAGCACCTTTGTTCCTTGTCACCTTGTGGGGAGGGCAGGCAGCAATGCTCCTGGGGAAAAAAATTGTTAAAGAGAGGTATATATTTCCACTCTTCATGACTTGCTGACAGTCATCTGACAAGCTAAAGGCAGAGTTGGAATGAAAGTCCAAGTTCCTGAGCCCATAATCATGGGAGCCCACAGCCATAGAGAAATATGGATTCTAGGCCCCAAACTGTGCACATCAAGTCCGAGGGACTACCAAGCGACATGGCAACAACAGAAATGAGTAGGCACTATGGCTGTACAGCCCCTTCCAGGTCTTTCAAATAGAACAGCACCCAGAAATTCATTCTGCCCACAGATGATCAGGGACCTGGACCTACCTACAGCAACTCCAGCATGGTCTAAGGCTTTGGTCCAAACAAAGAGAAAGACCTACATTTATGGCTCAAGTGACCCTTTGAGCAGGAAGGAGTCAGATATTCAGATTCCTCATTTCATCCTTCTCAACCCAAAGCCCCAACAGACCCCAAAACCCCAGGCTCTGGGAGACCCGAGACAGATTTTGCTAGTTTTGAGCTTCTATGATCTGGCTCCCTACTCCTTGGTCTTGGGATTTGGGACTAGAGGGCTGCAGGCACATAATGCCCAGAGCCCTGATGGGGCAGGGCAAGGGGCTGCTGGGCCGTGATGCCCAAATGCCAGAGCTGGGCACAGAGCCCAGCTAACAGATGCTGGTGCAGGTGTGACATCATGCCCTTGGGTAAGTGCCAGTTCTCATGCCGTCACTCCCTGCTAGAACCAGGGGAAGGAGGTAGGAGAGCCTATCTCTGGGCATAGATCTACTTGGGGCCATCCCCTGCCCATTAGTAAAAAAGTCCCAACTTCCACACCTTCTTCCAAGGTATATTTTGTTCCTCCACTGGCTTTTGTGTTGAATCTTATGTACAAGAAAATAAAGCACTAATGGAAGATGAGAAGACAGAGGGACAGGAAGTAGCTTCTTGGAGTGAGAGAAAGTGTGCCCTTGAGCACAGGAGGCTGGGTTGGCAGATAGACACTACTGGCAGGGGGCCAGCAGTACTGCCTACTCAAAAGCTTCCTTAACTACCTCCCTGGCTGGGGTAGGGACTTGACCCTGGGTAGGACAGAGTACATCATCTGGGATGGGTCTGAGGGCTCTCCTCACACCTGGCCTTAGCCCACCCTTCTGCTGGAAAACAAGACAAAGTGGATGGTTCTGATGCTTGCCAGATGTCTAAGCTCAGACCAGCTGGGACAGCACTCAGCATCCTAAGGACCCCATAGTCTCAAGTGCAGGGCAGTGCAGTAGGTAGTACTCTAGGTTCTAATGACAGCCCTACAGTGACCATATAAGACCTCAGCACATGTCACTCCATACTCTTGCCTTAATTTCCTCTTCTGTAATATTGTGGGTAGGAATGGTCTTTAAGGCCTGTTGAGCTCTCACATCCTGGCTTAAGTCAGACTTCAGGGAAACCAGGGTCTACAGGAGCTCAGTTGCTCTCATAGTAGTACTAGGGTGGCCTAAGATGAACAGAACTGGGCCCCGGGCCCACTGGAGACTGGAAGGGCCCTCAAGAAAGGAAGGGATAAGGCTGACTCAGACTCTACAGAACATGCAGCCAACCTTTCCCTAGGCTGCCCTATTCCTGACTCTGGCTTGGCCAAAACTGGTGTATTAGACACTTCCGTTGAACTATTTCAGATCTTGGCTCACCTATCTCTTGGTCCAGCCATCACTGTAGTTCAACCTAACAGACCCTTGCTTCAGGCCCATGCCATACCTGGGGACTCACTGTTAATGTCTTCAGTGACTATGCTTGTGTAACCTGGTAGTGGAAGGGGAGCTAACACTTCCTAAGGTGACACTTTGGCCAATGTGAGATTGGAGCTAGGGAATAAAGTTCTCTTCTTTTCTCCAAAAATGACTATTCATCCAGACAGTCCTAAGAAGCATTTCAAAGAGGTTCTTAGTTCCAAGAGATTGAGCCACAGTGAACAGAATAGTGGACAATTTAACAATATATCCTTATTCTGGTTCTCCCTCTTTTCCTCTGTGGGATTACTTTCTACTCCCTAACAAAGTACCTGCACATAAGTTTTCTGCTCTGCTTTTTGGAAAACCAAGGCTAACATACTATTCATGAACAGATTTATGGCAACTGGGACAAACTCAACCCACTATAAAAAGAATGGCTTGTTGTGCTTGGGTTGACTCATAGAAAGGATCAAACCCCTTGAGCCTTGAAGTCTGTTGTGGATTTTTAAAAGAATTCCACATTGATAATCCTTACACTGACCCTGTGAAGTCCTAAATCCCTTAAAAAAAAGAAAAAAAAAAACCAACTCTGTGTTAAGGGCTAACTTTAAATAGATCAACTCAAGTTCTAAATGAGGAAACTGAGGCCCAGTGAAGTTTATTGGCTTGTGCTAATTAAAGCAGTTATAAAGTACTATGGTTCTGATTTTCATATCTTGGTCTTTTTAACTCCAATTCTGAAATCTGTTTTCCAGTGTGATGAGCTAGTCCATGGGACCTTAGGAACTAATTGTGCTGGGGTCCAAATATGGCTCAGTGAGCTAAACCTACTTCCCATCTTCATTTATAATTTGGTCCCAATATACCTAGCAGCAGGGATAGACTGTAAGTTTGGGGAAATTTAAGAAAAGTGCTAGGAAGCTTCAGATTGTTTCAGGAATGAGTTGTCAGCATAGATTCAGGAAGATTGAGGTTGTGAAGCCAAAGAACTCTAATACCACCACATTTTTGCATTTGGGACCCTTTTCAGCTTTAGCTCCTGTCCTTGTCAGCTGCAAATTCACTGGGTATGGAAACACAAAGGCTATCATTCCTTCCTCTCTATTCTTGATGACCACAAGGGGGAATCTTCTATCTGGCAGTTATGGGACCTGAGGGAATTTGAGGCTGGGCAAAGGGCCCAGCGTGTCAGTTCCCATCACAGCCACACAGTCCAGCATGAGTCATGCAGGCTGATGGACACTCTGAGGACAGGACAAGAGGTCTTTGGGCAGAGGAGGCTGAAGAGAGGCCCAAGGAGGGGCAAAAGAGTCCATCCTTCTCTTGGTCAGTCACACAGAGAAGTTGCAAATTTTTATTTGAGTAATAGGATACCAGTTCCATCTTAACTTTCAGTAGTGCCCTATCCCTTCTAAAACTCTTTCTTCTCAGAATCCCACAGTCCTCACATAGGCAAGGCCTCATCTTACCCTGATCACTCTTTGCACTGCCTGATATTTTCCCTTCTAAAGCTTATCTCTGTGTTATCTCCTTGCGTTAGCTAATCTGCAGAAAGAAGATAGTAACAAATGTAGGGATATCCTTGGGTTACCTTCATGAAGTTGCTATCCAATCACTGGATTAGAGTAAAAAATCCTTGGTTAGAACGGTATTTGGGGATATACACATAGGTAATAAACAGTAAGAAAAGCAAAAGAATGATATAAACAAAACTCAGAGTTCTCATGGAATACCTGAATTAGGGAGAGTGCCACAGAAGATGCCAAAGCTGAGTACTGATACAGGAGTGATCAGTTTTAGTATAATGTAAACTTCAAATGTATATATTTATTCTGGCACATATTTCACAATAAAAATGCTAAGAAAAATAAACGGGAGTCTTGATATCAGCACTTACTGGGTATGTAATCTAATCTGGAGTCAAGTAATTCTAACTCTGAGCTTTATGGAGCCCCTGTGGTACGATGCATATGAAAGTGCTTTGCATTCTATAAAATGTTAAAGGAGGGGCTGGGATTGTGGCTCAGCTGTAGAGAGCTTGCTTAGCACGTGGGAGGCCTTGGGTTCGATCCTCAGCACCACATAAAAATAAATAAAATAAAAATATTGTGTCCAGTTACAACCAAAAAATAAATATTAAAAAAATTTTTTTTAAATGTTAAAGGAGTGTTTTAGTTTTCCAAGCGGGTTTTCCTGTAGCAATGTTTTTATCCTTGAGATCAACTGCTCAGCTTTTTGAGAACTTTCGTATCCTACTTTACAGTTAAGCCAATTATGCACAACCCGTTAGAATAGCTTTGGGGACTCGTACTGACAGAACAGATTGAGATGAGAGTCAACACTTCCGGGAGGCTAAACAGAAGCAGGAAATAAGGACAGTACCTTGGAACGCACCCTTCTCCCTAATCAGCCTGCTCTGTTCCCACTTTGGTTCCCAGACACTCACCAGCCGTCAGGACCTGGACTTTCCACGGGTGAGCAGCCAGGGCCCTTTGGTACGCCCGCCAGAGTGCCATGCCTTCTGTCAAGTCAAGAGGAAAGGGTCATTCCCACTGCCCTACCCACGATGAGAAAGACACCTGACATTTCCCTCGCACCCACTCCCTCTTTCCACTTCTGATACATCGGGAAGGGGCAGAGGCTTCAGAAGGGATGATTCCTGACAGTGTCGCCTTAGACAAGTGGAGAAGAGGCAGACTGTGCAGCTATGGACACCTAGTGGCAGCCAGCCCTAGTTCTGAAACAGGGCTGGGTGGGTGTCTCCAGCCCCGGCCGAAACACTCAGAGCAGGCTTTTTCCAGCTTTCACTTTGAGCCAGGGTCCTCTGAAAAGGAGACCCGACAGCCTCCAGATTCAGACTTAATTGAATTAGCCCGCATTCCTCCCGAGTGCAATTCCAACTGGAAACAGGACCCGTCGTTGCCTGGGCCTGGAATGGTCACGTGCCCTATGGGGCACTGCAGGTGCGCGGCGCTGGGAACCAGCGACTGTAGATCACCAGCCACTCACCTGAACCCTAGCTCTGCGCGCCGCAGGGCCTCCCGCGTCACCTGAGACGGCAACTTCCGCCGCAAGCACCGCCCCTTCCGCTCAGCGTCCTGTGAGCCCTTGCAGCAGGCGCAGGACTGGAATGCCACCGGGCCACGGAATCCCATGGAGAGCATCTCTGCTGGGTCACCCACTCTGTGAGCAACCCCCTCCGGGGGACAGCGCCGAGCGTTAGCATGGGGTTCGCCAGCCATTCTGCCCACGAGGTTCGACCTCTGCCTCGTCTCTCAAGCCCAGGCTTCTATGGGGTCTTGAGGGACCCTGCTTTACCGCCCACAGGGCTTTCGCAGAGCTGGCCAAGGTCCTGACGTCCTTCTTAAATCTCAGGAGTGGTATTTTGGAAACAAGTATAGTTCAGTGCGAACGTTCGTTATTTTTTGTCTCTAGGTTCTTCATTAGCCTAGCTCCTGAGTGGGGAGAACTAGAACTGTTCAGATTTGTCTTCATAACTAGTTGAGTGTTTTGATCACAAAGTCCCTTTTGGAAATGCTGCGTAAGGATGACTTCCATGGAAAGCATGGGAATTACAGAACTTCTGGAATTAGTTTAGGTACTAACACGCCTTGATCCTTACTAGACTTGCACTTCAGTTTCATCATCTGTAAGAATGATGGGGTTACACTGTTTGAATCAAACTGGGATCCTCAGTTCTAGGGGATGTTTGTGGGGTGGGGGATGGGAGGAAGATTATCACTAGATTCTTCTACCTAAAATGTTTTGTTCTTCAAAATATATACTTCTAGAAAGTTATTTTTAACAAAGGGATTCATGACTATTTGGAAACCAATAGGGAAGGTGATCTTTTAATCCCCTTCCAGCTCTAACATTCTAAGATTTTGTGAAAGTAGTGTAGAATTCTTCCTAGGGTGGTGGGAATTTCTACAATATGCCTGGCAGGGAATTCAGCAGGCTGTGCCTTTGCTTATCTCCAGGTAGCTCACATTTCAGGAGGCAGACTTGCAAACTCTCTACCTGCCTACCTCCAGGCCCGGTTTACTCAATTCCTATGATTAAAGCAGGGGAATCCTCTCTCAAACACCGGAGAAACAGAGTAAGGATGCAAGAAAACTCAATGTTACAAACATTTAACCAAAAGCTTTCTATATACAAAACACCATGGTAGAGTGAGCTTACACTAGCAAATTTAATAGGAGACTAAATATGGTAGTTTGGGAAGTTATATTCTCAAGTCAGACTGTCTGAGTCAAAATCTCAGCACAAGTACTTTGTAGTTACCTGACTTGTTCAGATTGCTTAACCTCAGAAACTAATTTTTAAGTAAAACAGCAATACCAGACTGGGGTTGTAGCTGTAGTAGAGCACTTAGCTAGCATGTGTGAAGCACTGGATTTGACCCACATAATAAAGCCATTAAAAACAAAAACAACAACAAAACAGCAATACCTACCTTACAGGACAGAAATATGCCAAGTACCCAAAATATGAGTGCTTAACATTTATCTTTTTTCCTCCTTTCTTGGAAACACATGGGAAGAATGTTTTTTGTTTTTTTAAACGGAAACTCCTTAGTCAGGGTGAAATTTCAACTTTTTTTTTTTTCCAAGCAGTACTGGGGATTGAACCCAGGGCCTTGCACATTGCTTAACTCTTGCTCCACCCCCAGAGCTACACCCCTGAGCCAGGATCTTGAAGGATGAATAGATTAAGTTGGAGACAGAAATGACAGTACTAGAGAAGGCAATAATGTGAACAAAAACACGAAGATAAAAAGGTGCAGGAATGGAGTATAAACTATATATATTGAAAGGATAGGTTAGAAATTAAGTGGCCTAGAGACAGTGTTTATGGGAAAGAAAAAGATCAAGACCTGAAAGCATCATTCTTATTTTCTTTTGGAGGTTGAGATTAGGGCTGACACTCAACAGCAGGAGCAACTATGGCTGGCACCAACCTACAACCTAACTGTATGTATCACCACGTCCCACATTTTCTATTACTGGAAATAGAAAAGGGGCTGCTGAATAGCATCAAGAGGTTGCTCTGTAGAGCAAAGCTTCTCTTAGTGCAAGGCACTTTCCTGTCAGCTCAAAAAGCAAAACGGGTACAACTTGAGTTGGGTTACAATAGGATGGTGCACACTTGGTGCCTCTGCACTGATGTGAGTTATGATTCCTTGGCTGCTAAGGAACCTGGGTTTTCTGTTTTTCTTTTGTATAGGACAGGGACTGAATTACTCACTTGATTGCCTTCTTAAAGGTTTTCTGATATATGATAAATTGACTAAATTAAACAGGAAGAAATTTGTTCCCAGATATATGACCAGTTTGGAGCATCAGAGGTCTTTGTTTCAGGAAGACACTAAGCTCTACTCCTTCCAACAGGCTTCCCCCTCCCCATTCCTTTAGGTCATCTAACTACTTCCCTCCAAACCACAGCCATTATTCCTATGCATCTTAAGTCTATGGTTTTCCTATTCTACCTTGCAGGGATCAATTTGTGCTTAGGAGGCAATATCATAGTCACTACAAGTCTACAGTATCCCACAAGAGGACTCAATATCAAGATAATACATTACTGTACTTATTATGTTCTAAACACTTCCTATACGTAAAGTTTAAATAAACGTTTTTAATAAGTCAACAATGTGACCATATCATGAAGGATCAAGAATCATGACGTGTAAAAGAATGGTTGAAATAACTGAAGATATTTAATCTAGAGGAAAAATACTTGGGAAACACATGATAGCTATTGTTAAATACTTAAAAGGGCAATCACAGGGAAGAATGTCTAGATTTCCTAATACCCATAAGTAAAATTAATAAGAGGTATACTCTGACTTGATATAAAGGAAGATTTTTAAAACACGACTGTCTAGGAGTGTTCAAGTAGGGTCAAGTGACCAATGATCAGGAATATTTCATAAGCAGGAGCAAGTAAGAGCTAAGCCACTGTTCTACTGGTAGGGTGTTTGTGGTGTTCTCCAGTTAAAGAAGTACTATGAGCAGCTTCAGTCCAATAAATTACTGTCACTCCTCTTGGGCTTATGTGTTGGTTACTCTAAAGAGGAAGTTTGGGAAGGCAGTAACATTGGATCCTCGAAGACAGACAGAAGCCTTCATGCAGATAAGTCTTTGTGATTCTCCAAACACCCACTCACAAGTGGTCTCAAAAACACCCAGTACCTTTACTTAGCTTTACCCACTTCACAATATGCTCAATATGAGCAATTGGACTCCCAAGCCTATGTTAGGCCTGAGTGTTACTTGTGAGCCATAGTTTTAGGCTTAAAAGCCTTTGTGGGGGGAGAGCCCCCCTGCCCGCAGGGGACTGTGACCATAGAAGTCAGTAGAAGGAGAGGGATCTAAGGAGTCCTGGGGAAGCAGTACTAAAGGTCCAGTCCTAGTGCCATCACTGTCCAGGAAGGCCCCAGTTCCTATGGCTCTGCGCATGGAGGCCATTTGTTCTTGGCAGATTTCATTCCAAGGGTCCTGTGTGGACTAAGACTAAGGATTGGACAGAAGGCGATGACTGGCTGGAGGGAAGCTGGGCCCTTTAGTTGGGGAGGATGATTGGAACATAGCACTGAAGTGTGCTCGGCTTTCAAGCTGCATACGGTGGCCCAGTGGGGAGGTGAGTCCACGGACAAAATGGATCCGAACCAGCCCTGACTGCCCCCCAGATACCAGCCATCCATAGGAGTCCAGGTTTGGGCTGAAACGTACCTATAAGAATAGAAAACAAGAGAGAGGCTCACAGGTGATGTTTTAGGGCAACTCTTAGCTCTGTAAGCAAAAAAAAAAAAAGTCACAATCTGAGAAGGCAGGACTATAATGGGGTGAGAGAGGTAGGAATAAGAAGCCAATGAATGAGGTATGTCTACTATATTCCAGAGGAGGTTGCCAAAGCTACTTCTCCTCATTAACCATCTATATTGCCTTTTTATTTCCCATTTCATTGATCACAGACCCAAAGTTGGGGAAGAATGAGTGAAGGGTGGGGAAGATGAGACAAGGTTCTTACCTTATGAATAGCCTCTAGCTGCAACCTGTCCAGGCACAGCTGAGAATGCCCTTCTCCTTCCTGCATGCGCAGCATCGGTTCTCTATGGAGCAAATTGTGGAAGGAACCCTGGGGATGGAAGTGGGACAGGAGAGAGAAAGCAAGCAGCTCCTTAATTTTGCATGTTTGTGATGGAACTCCTTAGGATTTCCTATTATACAAGGACTAAAGTTTTCTACCTTTTCTAATACTACACCCTATTTTCCTGGACTTGACTTACCAAATCTGTGTCTTGAAAGAGCAAGTAGTGATGGTTGACAGTTTCAGCATAAGTTCGAGCTGTGGGAGGATTGGGGACCCCAGATAAAGCAGAAGAGTGGTCTTGACCTTCAGGACTGTCCTGATATGGCATCAGATCAGCTTTATATATAGGCTAAAAAGGAGACCATAAGATTAAGTTGTATAATGCTGAAGACAGAGCTGGCAGCAGTGGCACATGCCCATAATCCCAGCTACTCAGGAGGCTGAGGCAGGAGGACTACCAAATTTGAGGCTAGCCTGATCAACCTGAAGAGACCCTGTCTCAAAATCTAAAAATTTAAAAAAGGGCTGTGAAGTAGTTCAGTGGTAGAGTGCTTATTTAGCATGTGTGAGGGCCTGGGCTCAATTCCCTGTACCAAAAAAACAAAACCCCCCAAAATCTGAAGATAGAACAAAAGTAGAGGAAATTGGTTTGAGGCAGGAAAGTCTTAATAATGGAAAAAAGTAGTATGTTTAAATATATGCTCAAAAATAAATAAATAAATAAATAAATGCTCAGCTGAAATAGAATAAAAAAGATTAGGGCTGGGTTGTGGCTCAGCGGTAGAGCGCTCGCCTAGCACGTGCGAGGCCCTGGGTTCAATCCTCAGCACCACATAAAAATAAATAAACAAAATAAAGATATTGTGTGCAGCTATAATTAAATAATAAATATTAAAAAAAAAAAAAAAGATTGAACATAATTCTGTGCCAAGACTTTCAGGGACAATGTCAGGGCTTGGAGACTAAGTACTAATTTGTATTCTACAAGGAATTGGGAGGGCAAGTGGTTAAGATCCAACAGACGGTGTTGCTGTTAGATGTTCATATACGTACAAATCTTCGCTCTGCAGGTCGCTTGACATTTATTGGGTTCGATGCCATATCAGGCAATATAGCTGCAATGAGTTCCCCAGATATATCTCCTGCAGCTATTGTCCCAAGCCAGTCAGATCCTGAAAGACTCTAATAAGAAGAGACAAATTTCATTAACTTACTCATTTCTATGAACTGATAATAAGTCTACAGTCAGAGGACAGAGAGAATGCAGAAACAAAACTGAGTTTACCATAACCCATGTCCCTGATGATACAGTTGCCATATATCTGAATTCTCCTTCTCCCCAAAACCACTGTCACTTCCTGACTACCACTAAGGAATAATAATAATGACTATCCTTCTGTGTAATGAAGACTGCAGAAGACAGGCTCACCCAAACAGTGCCTTTTCGAGGAGCTGTGAAGTAGGCCTTGAAGCCAAGATAACCAGCATCAATATAATGAATTCCACAAAGTCCATAACTGTATGAGAAAGAGAAATAAAATAAAACCTTCCTTTTTTAAGATTAGATTAATATCTTCTCAATTCCTTCCCAAAATCAAACTGCCTCAGCAAACCAGCTCAACGTATCTCTCCCCACAACAATCTTGCATGCCATGCAGCCCAACCCTTAGGGTCTGGCCCCAGAGTTCTTCCTATCTCCATCTTGCCGTACGAGGCATAGCAGTTGTCCTGAGCCACAGTGACACCATTGTAGGGGACCAGCCAGGCTAGCTCTGTACTCAAGAAGCGCTTGATAGAATTTATTGGTTCATAAGGTCGTCGAAGGTCCCAGAATTTGATTTTCCGATCACTTCCCGCGGAGACTAGGAAATGACTGTAAAGATGGGAGAAAATCAAAGCTAAACAAACCTGGAAGAGTTAGCCTGCCACAGTTTTCATCTTCCCCCTCCACAGATCTTCTATTCTATACCTGTTAGCTTTGCACCACTGAAGTGTACGTACAGCTTGGTCATGGGCTAGGAAACACTGGAAGGGGTAGAGCTTTAAGGAGCCATCAGAGAGCCGTATCCGCTGAAGGGGCGAGTTAGTGGGAAGGTTCCAGAAAACCACCATGCCTGAAGTAGGAATAGAATGGGTAGGCATTAAAGGCACTTTCTCACTACTTTGTTCTAATTTCTTTCTCTGGGGTCCTAGGACCCTGGTCCTCTAACCTCAGATGCAAACTGCAATGGAAGAATGTAAGGATCATAATAAGCTATTCAATACACCCCTCTATGGTTTTAAGACTCAGTCTGACATTTTTGTTGCAATTTTCATCAACAAAAAGTAATAGCATAGCCTGGAATCTGCAGTTGAGAGATAGGCTGAATGTTCGTAATAACTCTACTGCCTATTAAATCAAAGTAAAGAGTTTTTTTTTTTTGGTTGTAACTACACAATATCTTTATTTTATTTATTTATTTTTTATGTGGTGCTGAGGATCGAACCCAGGGCCTCCCACGTGCTAGGCAAGCACTCTACTGCTGAGCCACAATCCCAGCCCCAAGAGATTTTCTTTAAAAGAAGCATAAATACTCTAGGAAAGGGTTGGTATATTAGAGCTCAAGGGTCAAATACAGCCGGCTGCCTGCCTATTTTCCCTAACAGTTATTTTTTTCTTTTTTTTTAAATATTTTTAGTTTTTAGTTGTAGTAGTTGCACACAATATCTTTATTTATTTATTTATTTTTATGTGGTACTGAGGATTGAACCCAGGGCCTTATATGTGGTAAGTGAGCGCTCTACCACTGAGTCACAATCCTAGCCCCTTCCCTAACAGTTTTACTAGAACAGTCACACCCATTAATATACCCAATGTCTATGGCTGATTCCATGTTATAATTTGCAGAGTTGAGTTTCTAACAATGGTCAGCCTGTTTACAAAGCCTAAAATTATTACTACCTGAGTCTTTACAGAAAATATCTGCCAGCCAGGCATGGTGGTGCATGCCTGTAATCCCAGCAACTTGGGAGGCTGAGGCAGGAGGACAGCAAGTTCAAGGCCAGCCTTAGTAACTTAGCAACCAAGAGCCTATCTCAAAATAAAAGATAAAGAGCTGGGACTGTAGCTCAGTGGCAGAGTGCCCTGGGTTCAATCCCCAGGAGATATATATAAGTATATATATATATAAAAAACATATATATGTATATATACACATATATGTATATATATATATACACATTTATATATATACATATATATACATATATGTATATATGAAAATTATCTGCCAACTCTGGTCTAAAACAAGAATAGAGGGCTGGGGATGTGGCTCAAGCGGTAGCGCGCTCTCCTGGCATGCGTGCAGCCTGGGTTCGATCCTCAGCACCACATACAAACAAAGATGTTGTATCTGCCAAAAAACTAAAAAAAAATAAATATTAAAATTCTCTCTCTGTCTCTCTCTCAAAAAAAAAAAAAAAAAAAAACCAATTAAAAAAAAAAAAAAAAAAGAATAGACAAGGAGACAAAAGCAACAAAATGTGGAGGAAAAGAAAACAAATAGACAAACAGAAACTAATTTGGCAGACCCCAAATAAGCTGACCCTTGACAATGCTGGCAAAGGAAAA